ATACAAAAAATAAAGAGGAAGTAATCTAAGCATATCACTAAAAAACCCATCAAATCACAAAGGATGACAAGAAAAGAAGGAACAGAGAAGAAAAACAACAACAACCATAAAACAAGTAACAAAATGGCAGTAAGTATGTGCCTATCAATAATTATACTGAATGTAAATGGTCTGACTGAATACTTCAAATAAAAGACAAAGGGTGACAGAATGGATAGAAATGCAAGATGCATCTATATGTTGCCTATAGGATAATCATTTCAGACCTAAAAACACATGCAGACAGAAAGAGAAGGGACAGAAAAACATTTACCATGTAAATGCAAGTGAAAAGAAAGCTGGGGTTGCAATCAATACTTATATCTAATAGAAGAGACATTAAAGGCAAAGACCATCCAAGACACAAAGAAGGACACTACACAATGACAAAGGAAACAATCCAACAAGAGGATCTAACAATCGTAAATATTTATGCACCCAACATGGTAGAAGCTAAATATATAAAGCAGCTATTGACAGACAAAAAGGAAAAATCAACAGGAATACAATAATAGGGAACTTTAATATCCCACTTACATCAATGGATAGATCACCCAGACAGAAAATCAACAAAGAGACAATAGCTTTGAATGATATATTGGACCAAATGGACTTAACAGATATATATTCAGAACATTTCACCCAAAAGGACGAGGAATACTCATTCTTTTCAAGGGCACATGGAACACTCTCCAGATTAGATCACACATTGGGTCATTAAACAAGTCTCAATAAATCCAAATAGACTGAAATCATATCATCTATCTTTTCTGACCACAACAGTATGAAACTAGAAATAAGTCACAAGAAAGAATTTGGAAAGAACACAAATAAATGGAAGCTACATAACATGATACTAAACAATGAATGGGTCAAGGAAGAAATCAAAGAGAAAATAAAAAAATACATGCAGACAAATGAACACGAAAACACAATGATCCAAAATCTTTGGGATATTGCAAAAGTGGTCCTAAGAGGGATGTTTATAACAACAGAAGCCTCAAGAAACAAGAAAAATTTCAAATAAACAACCTAACCTTACACCTCAGGAGCTGGAAAAAAGAACAACTAAAGTCCAAAACCAGTAGAAGGAAAGAAATAACAAAGATTAGAACAGAAATAAGTGAAAGACAGAAAACAAAACAAAACAAAACAAAAACAAAAACAGAAAGATCAATGACTCAAAAGCTGGTTTATTGAAAAGATCAACAAAAATGGATAAACCCTTAGCCAGACTCATCCAAAAAGCAACCCACTCCTGAAAAATAGAGAACTCAAATAAACAAAACCAGAAATGAAAGAGGAGAAATAACAATGAGTAGCACAGAAATAGAAAGGATTATAGGAAAATACTATGAAGAATTATATGCCAACAAATTGAACAACCTAGAAGAAATAGATAAATTCCTAGAAAACTGGAACATCCCAAATTTGAATCAGAAATAGAAAAATTGACCAGACTGATTACCAGTAGTGAAATTTAAACAGTTTTCAAAAAACTCCCAACAAACAAAAGTCCAGGACCAGAAGGCTTCACAGGTGAATTCTACCGAACATTAAAAGAAGAGTTACTACCTATTCTTCTCAAATTTATCAAAAAAAAAAAAAAAAAAAAAGAAGATGAAGGAAAGCCACTCAATTCATTCTATGAAGCCAGCATTACCCATAACAAAACCAAAGAAAGTACAAAAAATAAAAATTACAGGACAATAACTCTGATGAACACAGATGCAAAAATCCTCTACAAAATATTAGCAAACTGAATCCAACACTACATAAAAAATAAAAAATCATTCACCTTGATTAAGGGGATTTATTCCAGGGATGCACAGGTAGTTCAATACATGCAAATCAATCAATATGATATATCACACTAACAAGAGAAAGAATAAAAACCATGTGGTCATATCAGCAAATGCAGAAAGAGCATTTGAGAATGTATAATATCTATTCATGATAAAAACTCTAACACAGTAGTTTTAGAGGAAACATATCTCAACATAATAAAGGCCATATATGAAAAACCCTGGCTAATATCATATGCAATGGTGAAACACTGAGCTTTTTCTCTAAGATCAGGAACAAGAAAATAATGTCCCACTTACCACTTTTATTCAACATAGTACTGGAAATCTTAGCCACAGCAGTAAGACAAGAAAAAGAAATAAAAGGCATCCACTGGTAAGGAAGAAGTAACATTATTTGCAGATGCCATGATTTTATATATATATATATATATATATATATATATACACACACACACTCTAAAAGTGTACCATAAAACTACTAGAACTGATAAATGAAAACAGTAAAGTTACAGGATACAAAATTAATATACAGAAATCTTGCATTTCTATACTCTAATAATGAAGTAGCAGCAGCAGAAGTTAAGAAAACAATCCCAATTACAACTGCACAAAAAGCAATAAAATACCAGGAATATACTTAACCAAGAAGGTAAGTGACCCATACTCTGAAAACTATAAAAGGCTGGTGAAAGAAACTGATGATGACATAAACAAATGGAAAGATACTCCATGTTCATGGATTGGAAGAAAGAATATTGTCATAATGTCCATACTACCCAAAGAAATCTATCAAAATACAAAGAACATTTTTCACAGAACTAGAACAAACTATCTTAAAATTTGTATGGAACCACAAAAGACTCCAAATAGCAAAAGCGATTTTGAGAAAGAGGAGGAAAGCTGGAGGTATCACAACCACAGATTTCAAAATATGGTACAAAGCTGTAGTAATCAAAACAGTATGATACTGGCAGAAAAATAGGCACATTGATCAATGGAACAGAATACAGCCCAGAAATAGACTCACATGTATATGGTCAATCTATGAAAAAGGAGGAAAGAATACACAATGGGAAAAAGTGTAACAAGTGTTGGCAAGGATGTGGAAAAAAGGAACCCTCTGTGTATTGACTGAAATGCAAATTGGTGGGGCCTCTGTGGAAAACAGCATATAAGTTCCTCAAAATATTAAAAACTGAATTACCATATGATCCAAAGATTCCATTACTTGGAATCAACCCAAACAAAACAAAAACACTAATATGAAAAGATACAGACACTCCTATGTTTATTGCAGTGTTATTTATAATAGCCAAGATATGGAAGCAACCAAGGGTCCATTCATAGATAGATAAAGAAGATGTGGTATATATACACAATGGACTATTACTCAGCCATAAAAATGAATGAGATCTTGCCATTTGCAATACATGGATGACTCTAGGGGGTATAAGGTTAAGTGAAATAAATCAGAGAAAGCCAAATTTCATATGATTTTACTCATATGTGGATTTAAGAACAAAATGAACAAACACGAAGAAACAGAGACAAATAAAACAGCCTCTTAAATACAGAGAAGAAAATAGTATTTGCCAGAGGGGAGGTGGGTGAAACAGATAAAGGGAATTAAGAGTACAGTTATCCTAAAAAAAAAAAAAAAGAGTACAGTTATCCTGATGAGTACTTAGAATTGTATAGAGCTGCTGATTCATGATACTGTATACCTGAAACTAAAATAACACTGCATGTTAATTATATTTAAATAAAAAAATAATAATCTAACCTAGGGAAAAAGAAAATCAGCCCTAGCTGAGAGGACATCATATACTTAATAATTTTATAGACACCTTATATTTATATGTAATGGGGTTTTTTTATCCTCCAGATGGATAGAGATTAGTCAAAATGATTGATTTTCTTGGTACTGTTTCCAAGGTCACCTAAAAACAAAGGTCCCCCAGCAGGGGGAGATTTAATTTACAGTAATTATTAAGTATATGACAATCATATTTCTATTATCAGTAAAACTAATATAATTACACTTTTAAAAAAGTAGACAAAAATAAATCTTTCTGGTTTGATTGTCTATCTCCCATTTCCCATATTAAAAAAAAAAAGGATAAAATTGTTTACTGTAGAAGTCACACTTAAAAAGCCCTGATCTTGTCTATACATAGCTTTTCCACTCAACTGAGTTTCCTTCTGTGAAAAAAATTTGAGTCATGACCAACATCACTGACTATACTTTAAGAGATTCCTGATAATGAATTTCCTTCCACAAACTGCATGATAAATTTTTGAGATCTGCTTATTTTTCATCTGTATTAAATAGACGGGAAATCAAGACATCTAAAATTAAAATTTGTTAAGTATCTATTGTGTGCTTGGCACTTTACACACATTATTTCATTTAATTTTCATAAACATATGAAGCACTCTTATTCCCATTTTGCATAGGAGGAACGTGAGGTTTAAAACTTGACCATTATTTGATCAATGTCAGTCAGTTGGCTAATTTGGCCTGTCCTCAAATCCTGTCCTCTACAATGCAGCCTGAAATTCAATTTTAAGATTTGGAGTGTTCTATTCTTCATTAATTAATATTTAATACAGTCTATGCCAACCTAAAAGTAAAATAAAATAAAATCATCACATCAGTTTGGAGATCTTCAACTTGCCATTAAAATATACATATATTAGGAAAGACTCCTTAATTCTGGCCAAGTTGGCAGTAAGTTTAGTGCATGTTGTTCTTATTTTCTTTATATAAGCCTGAAGGCAAGAAGGAAAAATTAGTCTTTTAAAAAGGGTTTTCTTCAATAAACCATCATGCTGACAAATTAAATGACAGTAACCTCTCTCAACAGCTGACAGCCTAGCAGGGGTCCTGTTAACATTCACATTAGGGCAGACTGATTGGTTTAATTGGCAGTCATGCCTAAAAACCTGCAGAGGAATTGATGCTGAATGAATCATTTCTTTTAGCAATATTCAGCAGTTTGAATGCAGCAATGCAACCAAAGGCTCTTAAAGTTGTTCTATTTATTGTTGAAACCAACCGACCAAGTGATTACTTTCATTTTATTTTCTAAAATTGTGTGCTTTTTACTGAAAGCCATCATTTAAAAATGCTTCAAAGAAAAGATTTCTTACCACATTTTCCCATATCTCAAACTGGAAGGTACTAGAGGCAGACAATGTCGTGAGGAATAAATCTAGAAGGAAAATAATAGAATCGTAAGTTTTGTTACTGATGTATACACTTGAAACAGGAAGAAATGCAGTATGTAAAAACAGTTATTAATAGAGTTGTACTTAAACATATTTTAAATTATATTTTAAGGAGCTTGATCCTGTGAAAGAAAAGAAAGCAGATTATCCTGTACTAGTACAACTAAGGAAAATGTATTTAAAGGCAACATTTGGTATTATTCCTTTGAAAGCATTCTTTATTTTTAAGAGCCGTTATGTGTATTAACCTTTTTTATCTTATACATTTTTATTTTAAAGCACACTATATTTTAAACAAAATATTCAAATTAGAATCACATTGTGCTTTCTCACCTAAAAGCTATGCTTCCTTATATATTATAGTTGAGCTTGTGTTATTTTAAATCACAGTATCATAGCATCCAAAATCTTTAGTACTTATGTTAAATGAACAATAAATTGTATTTCAAATTTTGAATAGAAGAATTGTCTTCATGTAGTCCAACTAAAAAAATTTATTTTATTGGAAAGTGTAAGATTTTTAATAAAATTTGTTGAAAAATAATAGGTTGACAGTCAAATCTAACACCCTATTAATCCGAAGGCCAGGTGAAATGCAAATCTATTCTAGTAGTAGTATTTATTATATTTGCATAGTGGCAATTTTACTTAGCAAATACATAGTTTCAAAATGATGAGCTGACTCATAAGAATATTAAAATAACATTACTTTTTCATGCTTTAAAGGATGGGAATTATTCAGAGTGATATGCAGACCATAACTATTTTAAAGAAAAGATTTTTTTCTGTCCTATTAAATATGTTTAAGAAAACTATCCTTCACATTTTAATGTGTTTTTTGTAGAGATTTCATATGAGTTTAATGAAGCTCATTTATGAAATAATTATAATAATAAGAATTTTCACAGAATCCCCAGAAAGCTAAGTAATTTCTTCTCTTTTACAATTAGTTGTAGTTAAACTCCTGTTTCCAAGTAAGTGAAACTATCCTTTCTGTCAGTATATCAGATATCTCTTGATTTATTTTTACCACACTAAGGATGCTTTGCCTGTCTTTTTGAAGTCTTTTATGAAGATAATTTCTTGCTCATCTAGGGAAATTCCCAAACAATACCTGAGATTTGTGAGATGATGCACCTACAGCCAAATCCTCTCCTTTTCCCATATATCCTCCACATTGCCATTAGCATGATGAAAAAATAAAAGTGCAAATCCGATCTCATTCCTTCTCTTCCAGTATCTCTTCTTCCCATGTGAGGAAGCCTACTTATCTAAGTCTCCATGCTCATTTCCTGCTACTCTCTCACAAGAAACTGACTCTCTGTAGTACCCTTTTATATCACAGCTATCTGATGTCCCCACTGTTCCTGAGGCCCTTCCTCTCCCTAGGCACAGCTTTCCCTCCATTGTTATTCCACTATGATACCTCAATTGGCATGGTCATTACAAGATCCTATGATATTCCAGTTTCATATCTGTCTTTCCTGAGCTTCTTGAGGGGAGGAGTCATGCCTAATTGGTTTTTATATCTCTGTGGTTTCTATGTACTTGGAAATGTGTTTGAATAACTGTTTTACAACTAAATGATACCACACACACACCCCCCCCACATATATACACATATACATGTCTACAGACATATGTAAGTGTGTTTATGGGTATATATATATATATATATATATATATATAGTATTTAGTTATATAAAATATACAGTGGTTCCTGAAAATTTGCTTGAACTGTCTATAAATAGTTACTCTATTTTTAAAAAGTGTCCTGGGGAAAAAAAGGGTTTTATGTTAGAGCATTTCATTCAAAATATGTATGACTGCTTATAGTGACTCCTGTCTTAGGAATGTTTTAAAAACTATTAATTTTTATCTGAAAATATGAGCCTGGTAATGGGTATTATGGAGGGCAGGGATTGCATGGAGTACTGGGGGTTACATGCAAACAATGAATCATGGAACACTGTATCAAAAACTAATGATGCTCGGCATCAGGGAGATACAAATCAAAACCACAATGAGATGCCACCTCACACCAATCAGAATGGCTAAAATTAACAAGTCAAGAAATGACAGATGCTGGTGAGGATGCGGAGAAAGGGGAACCCTCCTACACTGTTGGTGGGAATGCAAGCTGGTGCAACCGCTCTGGAAAACAGCATGGAGGTTCCCAGAAAGTTGAAAATAGAGCTACCTTACGACGCAGCAATTGCACTACTGGGTATTTACCCTAAAGATACAAACGTAGTGATCTGAAGGGGCACATGCACCCGAATGTTTATAGCAGCAATGTCCACAAGAGCCAAACTATGGAAAGAACCTAGATGTCCATCCACAGATGAATGGATAAAGAAGATGTGGTATATATACACAATGGAATACTATGCAGCCATCAAAAAAATGAAATCTTGCCATTTGCGACAACGTGGATGGAACTAGAGGGTATTATGCTTAGCGAAATAAGTCAGTCGGAGAAAGACAACTATCATATGATCTCCCTGATATGAGGAAGTGGAGATGCAACGTGGGGGGTTTGGGTTTTAAGAAAAGAATAAATGAAACAAGATGGGACTGGGAGGGAGACAAACCATAAGTGACTCTTAATCTCACAAACAAACTGAGGGTTGCTGGGGGGAGGGGGGCTGGGGGGGTAGGGTTATGGACATTGGGGAGGGTATGTGCTATGGTGAGTGCTGTTTAGTGTGTAAACCTGGTGATTCACAGACCTGTACCCCTGGGGATAAAAATACATTATATGTTTATAAAAATAAAAAAAATTAATAAAAAAAAGTCTTTAAAAAAAAAGAACTAATGATGTACTGTATGGTGACTAACATAACACAATTAAAAAAAAGTTTAAAAAAAGGAAAATGTGGGTAATCAGCATAAGAAAGTGATCAGGTATTAACATCCATAGACATTTCTAAGAATCACTTACAGTTTTGAAATTCTGAACGCATTTGAGAAGACATGAGGGGGCATCTTTTTGACAAGGGCTCACAGGCTCGTTGCCCTGATAAGCCAGTTAGCTTTGTAGGATTGGAAGAGCTATTTTGTTACCACAAATGACCAAGCAGAGACAGTTAGGAGGGAGGGGTGGGTGGTTACCAGCAATCTATTACCCTTCATGGAAAAACAACACAAAATGTTTTTTTCTGATGGCACCGCACTAGTCTCAATACATTTGCATAAACGGTGATAAATCATGAGCTTTCTGTTCTTCCATTCATAGCTTGAAAATTTAACAACTATAACCACGTTTGCTGATTCCATTTTCATAGCTTCATGAGCTATTTATTAAGATTTTGAAATACAGTAAATTTGGATGAGGGATTGGAAGTATCTTGTAAAATAGATTAAAAAAATTCATTTCACTATTCAATTATGCAAAAAAGGTTATAGGAAAAATAAATGATTCATTATGTGGAGAAATAGAGACAATTAATAATCAACAATTCAAGATGAAATCATACCTCTGACTTTGAATGAAATGAGAATGAAATAAAGAAATGAAATTAAATAAGCTAGGAAAAAAATTAAGTCAGTAAAGCAACCAACTTCTCACCTCCTACATGGCTAAGAGTAATTCATTCACATAATATAATGGAAGGAAATGTACCCAATGAAACTGTAACAGATGCTGTAACATGCCACCCAGATCCCTTCTGCACAAAAGACTTATTCTTTTGCTTATTGGAAATGCGGCTGGCAGATAGCCCTATGCAGTTGCCCTTTCTGGAACAGCTCTAGGTGAAAAGAATTGCTTTGCCAAAGGTTGCATCCCTTTCTACACTAGGCTGCATTTAATAACTGGTCAGTTCAGAAAAATAAAGGCTACACCCCCGCCACCATCACTCAGGAAAACTCTGCAGGGCCACAAGGCATTCAGAAGACCAAGGTCTGGTGAGGTTTTTATTTGACACTAAATCATAGCCCAACTCTGCTTCCTTCCCATTTCCTCCAGTAGTACTGACTATAATAAGAGCACTGCCTAAAACTTCTTGCACACTAGTTTCTATTTCAAAGTCTCCTTCTCAGAAAATGCAATCTACAACTGTTGATACCAGAAGTGACCTGAGAAAGCAAATACTAAGATTTTGAAGTTGGATTACCTCAAAAGAGGCTGCTAATAAGGATTTTTTTACTGGGGTTAAAGAGTGAACAGATGGCCATACTATCTTTTACTGGTATTATTGGGATGGTATTTTGGTGGAAGGGAATGCACTAGTGGGTGTTGTATTTCAGGCTTTTTGAGAAATATGAGATAAACACTTACTATAAAGACAGTGGAACTGGATGGCTATTGCTAAGCTTACCTGAAGAAACAGAGGAGAAACACAAATACGAAGCGTGACTGATGAGAAAGTAAAAGCCATGTGTGAAAGCAAGAGGGCCTCTTGAGTAGCATCTAAAGAGGTTCTCATCTCCTGTAGTAGGAGGGCAAAAATGAGCTGAAGACTAAAACCAGGATTTAATGGTAAGAATAGAAGATCTCAAAGAAGGGGCAAGATGGAGAAGTAAGAGACCCTGTTTCAACTGATCCCCTAAAGTGAGCTAAATGTCTACCAGAACACTCTGAACACCCATGAAATCAGCCCGAGATGTAAGATTATACATTTCTGGATCTCTACGGGGATGGAAGACATCAGTGGAGAGGTAACATGGAGTGGGAATGCTAAGACTGATATCAGAGGATAAACTGAAGGGGGAGAGAGCCACCAGAAGTGACCCATTAGAAAGTAATACCCCAATATGAAAGTGCTCTGTGATTGGGGACCAGCATTAACGTGGAGACTGGTTATAAAAGCACTCAAAAAGCACAAAAGATCGTAAGGGGCAACTGGTGGAATTGGGTTGTCATGGGCACAGGCCTAAGCCCGAGGTCCCACGACAGTCACCACCGGTGATCACATCTGTGCCAGAGAGAGCCGGGCGAGGCCTCTGTGGTCCCTGAGCCCATAGCATTCCGCTGCTTGCA